TGGTGATGGTGGTGGTCCTGATGGTGCCTGTGGTGGTGGTAACGATGGTGATGGTGGTGGTGTCGGTGGCATGCTCCTGTTGTTACTGGTGGTGGCAGTGAGAGTAACACAAGACATAAATAAACCAGGTAACTGGCTTTCTCGGAATCTAAAATCCTTCCTTGCCTCCCACTCCCACCTTCTGATCTTTTGATTTTGTAAAAAATGGTCAGAGTTCTGAACCTTTGTTTTTGGTAGCAGCATCTGTAAGATGATATGACAGCCTCTTTATTTATTTATTTTTGAAAGGATGTAAGGGAAACAGCTTCCCTTATTTAAACAAAACACAGAGTCCCCAAGGCTTTAAAACTGGAAGCCAACTCTCCAGGTGGGGCAAGGGTGCTGACCAAGCAGGGCCCACGCCTCTCCCGAGTCTCCTCCTTCCCTTGCCCTCCTCTTCCTCTGACTCTCACAGCCAGGACCATGTCAGCCCAGCGCCGAGTCACTGTTCATCCTCCAGAGCTCCAGCCCAAGTGTGGCCAACCATCTGTTCCCTTGGTTTCCCTTCGTCTAGCTGAGAGACTGAAATTTCAATGAGGGAGGGAAAGAGAGACAGAAACACAGAGAGAGAGACACAGAGAGAGAGACTGAGAAAAGAAAACCAAAGGAAAACAAACAAAGAAAACACAGGAAGTTTAGCGAGCATCCAGATTACAAAGCTTATTTTTCTGAACCTTCACAGCTAACTCATTCCCAGGCCCCCTGGCCACGTCTCTCAGTCCACATCTTGTCTGATACGCTCAAGGTGCCTGGACTATTTAAGAGACACCTTCCGGAGTCCACGCTCCCCGCAGTTCCTGACTCGTCGCCACGTGGGGAGGGTCACAGTAGGTCCTCTTACGTATTCCTCTAGTCCCCTGGTGCTGGTGGAACCCATGCAGAGATCACGAACCTCAGCCCCCCACCCACCCAGGGTGCTCCTATGCAGCCCCCCTTGCCCAGCTATCCGGCAACACTGAAATGAATGGACACACCCCTTCAGGTGACTGGCTTGGCTCTTAGAGTTGGCCTAACAGTGGAACAACCACATAAGCATAGAATCACTTTGTAATGAAATTAATTTCAGCCAGAAGGCTACCTCTCGGCCATCACCCAGGAACAGGACTGCAAAGCTTGGTGCAGGGGACCGTCTTCAGCCATCTTTCTTGTTCCCTGGTGAAGACATTATTGACAGAAGTTAAAAGAACAACAGACTTCAAGCTCAAAGGAGGGCAATTCAAAACTCCCTGGGGCTGCCAGCGGAGTCACTTTAACGACAACCGAAATTCCTGGGGCAGCGCTGTGCAGCCCACTTTTCTCTTCCTTTCTGTTAGTGCTGCCTTCCTGGGCGGTCTGCGGGAGATATTGGCCCTGGATACAAACAGCCAGTCCTAGTTCTGGGGTTACCAGCGGGAGGGGTCCCCTTGGGGCAGTGCCAGGCTGAGGGGGCCGCAGGACCCCGAGCTCCCTTGCCCCCGCTCCCCGCTGAGCCTCCCACGTGGACCACTCCCTTTCAGCCTCACCCAGTTGCTCCCTCTGGGGCTCTTCTAGAAACACTTTGATAAGGGACACAAGGATGAGAAGATGGAAAACAAGCCTGGGAAGAATATCTGGCATATGTTTTTCTTTGCCGTTCAAGTAACAATTTCTGCCTGGTCACTTTGGACCGCAGATTCTATTTATTTTGCTAGCCTCCTACCCTATTCCCATCCCAGGAGTGGGGTGGGCTGATAGTTTCTTTCAAGGCTGTACTAAAAATTCCAGCCTCCCTCATGATTCTAACCCCCTGGATCACCAGGGCAGGCAGCCTGTCCCTCTTTGTCACTCACAGGATGGGACGGGACGGCTCCCCAGGCCAGCCACCCCCCCAGGGGAGGCCGTTTGGGGCGGCCTTGAAGCATTTGGAGATGCGTGAGACACAGGACATTCCCCCTCTCTCCTATCTCTCAAATGTGTTGCTGGAGGATTGCAATTGTTTCTTTTTAGCTGAAACTCCGACAAAACGCCTAAGTCTCCCCCAGGCTTATCACGCCCTGCTTCCCCGTGAGTCCTAATCTTTCTGCAGAAGTAAAACTGTTTTCATGCCCCATCCCTCAGCTGGTGGTTTTCCTCCACCTCTCCCCAGTGAGGCTGGATGGAAGATGGAGCCGGGGACTTGAAGGGTTAAGTTAGCCTGGCTTTGGAAGAAGAACGACGGCATTCCCCTGATCCCAGATGGAGAATACTGAATAACTCCCTTGGGCAAGTCAGCTTGTTTGGTTATCTTGGAGTGTGTGCTGGGGCTAACTCATCCTGGCCAGTCCTTCCGGATGTAGCCTTGCTCAAAATCAAGCCTTATACAGGAGTGTTATTCCCCGGGGCTGCCTCCTCCCTGGCTGATAAAGAGTTTCATCATGGATGATTCAAGAGGTTGAGATGCAAGCTCTGGTGATAGCTAATGAGGCCTCCAGCCCCCAGCTGACCTCACTTTCGAGCTGTTGACAGGTTAAGTCAGGCTGGCCAAACAGCATCCTAACCAAGCCAAGACAAATGCTTGCACCCCTCCATGCCTCCAAGTCCTCCTCCTGCATTGCGATCCACCTCCAAGACTCCCCGTGGATCCTCTCCAGCTGCCCCTTCTTCCATAGACAAAGGAGCAGGCCAAGATGGATAAGGCCGATCCATTCTCCATGCCCACATCCCTGGCTACACAGACCTTGACATGGATCCTCATGGACCCTTCTTATTTCTTCCCAGATTCTCCCTCCCACTCCATCACTTAGGGACCTGAGCAGGTGGTTTTGAGTCTTGGGTTACTTTAAAAAGCATGCAGTAGGCCAATCTTCTTGGGGACAGAGACTTTAAACCAGGTGAGGGACACACACACACACACACACACACACACAGCAGCCCGGCCTGCCCTCCAGCCAGGGCTAGGATGGGAAATGGAGGTCTCCTTATCATCCACAGGGCCAGTGGCACTGAGGGCCCCCAGCTCCCAGGGATGGTCACCTCCTCAGATCCCGAGGACGGGACTGACCAAAGACAGACAGCAAGGCAATGCTGGTCTCCGTGTGGGTGCCAGACAGACTGGCCCAGGACACAGCATTTTCTCCATAACCTCTAGAGTTAAGCATCGCTTTGGAAACCTTGGAAGGGAGGGGATGTCCTGGGACCTGTGAGGAGGAACCCTCCCCTCCCCTCCACCCCACACAGCCAACTCTTGGGGGCCAGTGCTCAGACTAATGTGCAGCTTGGGCTGTGTCCATACTGGGCTCAAGGCTGCGACTGAAACGGCTCCAATCCTCGTGTGGCAATTCATGAAGTCCATGGAGTTAGACCACCCTCCCTGACTGCCGCACGATACGTTGTACTTCTTGAAATACTTTTTGTATGCATTGTCTCATCCTCATGCCATGTCTATGAGGTAGATATTATTATCCCTCTCTCCTTTACAGAGGAAGAAATTCGGGATGGGAGGGAGCAGAATGAGGACACTAACCTTGGACCTTTGACCCCAGATCCTTTGCTCCTCCCTTGAAGAGCGAATTTAATTGTACTTGGAAATGGATAATACTTCACTACGGCAACATGAGGAGGTGAAGACTGATAGGCACAATGATGAGATTAACAAAGACAAGGTGACAAAAGAGTGGAGGACATTTTTCATTTAGGAATTTTTTTAATTGCTTTATTTCAGGGTAGTGGAAATTTAACTTTCATTATTTTATGCAGTTAGTCTATGGTTATTGTAAAAAAAAAATTAAGCACTGACAGGAAAAAGGAAAAAATTAACCATTAACTACAATTCTAGCCACAGGATGTAGATACATATACACACATACATCCATATCCTTGCAGAGCTATTCTTTATGCATATAAATATTACATATAAAGAGCATATGTTAATAAGTATTAATTATATATTCACATCTCTGCATACCTTCTTTTTTACTTGGAAACCTAGAAAAATCCTGGAACTATCTTTCCATGTCAGTAAATAGGTCTATATGATTTTTTACTGATCTCTTAGTGTTCCGTTGTATTGATATTACTAGACACTGAACACTGTTTTCATCTTTTTATAATTGCAAATCATGCTGTAAGGAAGCTTCTTAGGCACAGATCTTTGTGCAGCTGTCTGATTATTTCCTTAAGATAAATTCCTGGAAATGGAATGACTTGGTCAAAACACACCTTCCAGGTTTTCAGTGCATTTTGCCAAAAAGTGTGCCTTTTTGTAATCCCAGCAACAGTATCTATGGGTCGGAAGGCTTAGTCAGAGAACATGTGAGGAGGAGAGAATAGCTGGAGGGTCAGAGTGCAAGGCTTGTTGGGGGGGACCTTGGTTGACATTAAGTAAAGACTGGACTTTGATTTCTAGGGATTAGAGAGTTAGGTTCTGAGCAGCGATTGAATTGGCCAGAAGTGGCAAAAACAGAAGGGGGAGAATCGGGAAGATGATAGAGCCCTGGTTGGGTGGATGGAAAGGGAGTACTGAGATGAGCTCCAACAGTGGGACAGACAGAGAGAGACAGAGCCAGACAGACAGAGTGGGGAGGCAGAGGGGGATGGAGGGGAAGAAGAAGGAGAAGAGAAAGGAGGGAAAGGAGAAAGAGGGGGAGTAAGCAGATGAAGCATGTTGTATGTGGGAGTAATTAAAGATGATACAAGACTTTTGAGTCTGAGCAACGGGAGAGGAAAGAGGCTAACAACGCCCAAGGAAAATGGGGGAAAGTCAAATTTGTTTTGAATGGCTTGACTGTCCATGCAAAGCTGCCTCTCAGAGCTGGTTGCTTGGGAGGGTGACGTGGCTTAGAGGCGGGTTTAGAGCCTCAGAGCTCAGGGTAAAAGCTGCCGAGTAGACAGCCCTGCTAGGAGTGGAGAGCAGTATGAAGAGAGAACCAAGGACAGATCCTTGGAATATGGCAACTTCAGTTAGTGGGAAGAAATGAAAGCCAAAAAGGATGGCCAAGAAGAGCCAACAGAGAGGCAGAAAGGGGACACGGGACCTTGGGCAATGGGCCTGAAGAGGAGAGGTTTAGAGGAGGGGTATTCTGTGTGTGATGCAGAAAGGCCACATAGAAAAACATGGAGAAGGAGCCCTTCATTTGACCACACCGGTGAGCTCCTTATGGAATGAGAGAGAAGGCATCACCCCACTTGCCACGAGGCTGGGAGGAGCTTGGTCTGAACCCTTGCTAAGGGCAAAGATAGGAGTGAGACAAAACAGAGTTCACTGGGCCATGAACAGCATTCATAGGCTGGGTCCAACCAGGAATGTTTCCACCCATCGGGCCTGGCTTGAATTTTCAAAGCCTGACTGAGGGGATAGGGCTGAGGAGCAGTCTTTGTGAATTATCTAAATGAATGCCTAGCACCCAGAGGATGCACAACTCATGCTCTGTTTCAGGCATTGGTACCATGGTAGCCCAATAGCTTTTTTAAACATAAAATCCAACCCAGAAAAAGAAAGGGAGCATCTTATTCCCTGTGATGAACAAAATTTCCTCCCTCTTCCTTCAACAAAATAGTGAAGGTCTTTGGGCTGACACAAATGCCTACCCCCTCCAAAAACAAAATGCTCAGTTACAGAAAAATTATTCTCCTGGAGAAGCTGGGCATTCTGTTACAATCCCTGTGCCTTGGTTCTCTCTGGAGACAGTTCCCTCCGTTATGTCCCTCCACCCCTAGTTTCAGAAGGTGGCGGGGGGGGCGGAGGGCAGGCAGCCCATCAGCTGAATCCCTCTGCTCTGCTTTGCCTCCTCCAGGACTCAATTGAGAGCACACACCAGGCAGAACAAAACAGTGGCAATTGATGACAAATGGGCTGAGCTGCCCCCACGTCCCCCTCCCCATTCCCTGTTACCATGGAGACACCAGCCAGCCGAAGCCAAGAGATCAGGAAATATCCATAAAGGACAGTCTGGTGGACACAGGTGTTTGGGGAATCAATATGAGCCAACAAGATCCTTTCGTCTGTGGAGGGTTGGAGGGGGAAAGGCAGTGAGATGGGGAACTAAGTAACGCAGGTGGGCTTTGTCCTTGGGACTAGGAGGCTCTTTTCTCTGCCTTATGTCGATGCCACACTCCAAAGCTCTGTTTTTGTTCCGTGTCCATTTCTTCTCTCTTCTACTTCACCTGCAAGTCTGAATAACCTCCGAGATGGGCAGCTGGATATATGCTCAAGAAGC